AAAAAGAGACAGTCCCACACAAAATGGTTTTTAAAATATACACAACCTCCGCCTAACTAAGCACAGAATATCCATCTATTTTTTTGCCTTAATGGATTCATTTATCCAAAATGTTAAAAGGCAAATAGATACAGAAAACAGGAATATCAAGCCAAGGCGCAATTAAAAACTTAAATAACCAGCCAGGTAATTGCTAACTTTCAAGAAAGAGATGTTACTTAAAATGCATGAGCATCCATTAAAACATTACACTAAGGTCCCAATTCAGCAAGGTAAGTGCCGTGTACTTAGCATGGGCTGAACTCTAAGCATGGCATCAGTCCCACCGAAGTCAATGCCCTTTTGCATTCTGAACCCCGGGGGAATACTGATGTGCCTACATTCAGTCTCTTGCTGAATTGGGTCCTGGATCCAGAGGAGACGCATGAGGAGTAATGACGCAGATTCACCTAGATCTACTCACCCCCGCCCCCAGGTGCAAATCAATGTGACTTGCCCACAGCGGAGCCGGAAGGCATATGGTAATGCAGACTTGCAAAAACGTCAAGGAAATAAAACCTACCAGCTCCAGCAAAATTTTGCTAGCCGAGGCTTACCAGAAACGCCAACGCACACAGCACTCCCACCCCGCACACTGATACAGACAGACACACACCCCTGAACAGACACACAGACACACCCTTCAGACCACTGGATGGACAGAGGGACACACACACCCATCAAATCCTTGGGTGGACAAAGGGGGTCACACACACACCCCAGTCAGACCCCTGGGTGGACAGAGGGACGGACACACACACATGCACGCACACCTGTCAGACCCCTGGGCGGACAGAGGGGGAGACAGACACACTTCACTCCAAACTTTATCTCATTCTCTCACATATCGTTCACACCAGGCACTCACTCTCTCCCACACGTGACAACCACGCCACGCCACCCTGCCATTCCATCACTGCTCACCCCTCCCCGCATGTCAGACACCCCAACTTTCCCTCATTCGTCCCCCACGTGCCCATAATGCCGTGCCCCCTCCATTTCCTCACACCCTCAGCTCATCAGTTCTCTGGTCTCTTCAACTTTAGCTGCACAAATTAATCAGTTTTCTGCTTCCTCCCACCCAAAACGGTTAGCTCTTCAGTGCGGGAGCAGCCATCTCTGCCCTAGCTGGGCAGGGGCCTCCCCTCTGCTCCTCAGAGCTCACAAACAGCACCAGCTCCCCAGTCCCTAGGGAGGCACCGGTGTTCTACTAGGACTGCTGCGATCTTTGGCTCCTGCCCATCCTAGGTCTTGGGAAGGGGCCTCTGCTGCTGGGTGGGAGGCAGGTATAAGGCCAGTTTTAGGAGCAGCTGGTACAGCAGGAGTGCTCTAGGTCTGGCCTCAGCTGGTGTCAAGTGAAGACGACACAGGCACAGAGAACCCAGTAAATTTAACTCCCGCTCTCCCTCAACCAAGAGGAGCAAGGCGCCTGGACAACTCCCTCTCCCTTCTCCATGCTGCTGCCCCTAGCCAGGTAGAGTGGTGCACCCCCTGCAGGCCTAACTGTGCACCGCACCCTCATGGGGAAAGCTGCAGCATGGCTTACACTCGAGTCGGGCGTTTATGCAACGAAAACCTTAAGGCCTAGAAACATGGGGCCTGGCTCAACTCCAATTCACTTCAGCAGAACTCCGCTGAAATCAACAGACTGACGGAGAAACCCTGGAACAGGGAGACTTCCACACGGGGAAAGACCTCGCCAAAAACTTTCAAGGATTCGCCTTTCCTCTGTAGTACACAGTTATCCAGACGGTGTGTGACCATCACCCACCAGCGCTCATTGTATTTAAGTCTCTCTGAGGTTAGACAGAGAGGGCTCTGGTGGTTTCCATTGAGGTTTAGCTGCCAGTGCTTTGCTGGCAGCAGGCCAGCCGACAGCAATTGCAGGCCCCAGGGCAGAGCAGTCAATGGGCTCGGCCAGGACTTCCACATACCCGCCCGGCTGCCTTCACCACTGCCGGTACCACCCTGCGCACGCCTAGGAGCCCTGCGGCCGCCCGGATGATTTAAAAGGGCCCGGGGGTCCCGCCGCCACTACCATGGGCCCTTTTAAATCACCTGGGCCCCTGGGCAATTGCCCTTCTCCCCCCCCCAAACAGGCCTGGCTGGCAGCAACAATTCGAGGAGAAAAACGCCACCTTCTTCTCTCCCTGCTGTGGCACCTGACACGTCAGAGGCGCCTGGGCTGCTTTGACATTTTACTTTTAGCTTTAAAATTGATTTGGGACCGATTCAAACTTTTCAGCATGTAATTCATTCCTTTTTGAAAAAATTAATGTGCTCAGCACCAAGGCAGTCCTTCCTAATACAAGCGACCAGGCCTGCTCCTCGGCTGGTGTCAATTGGTGTAGCCCCAGTGACACAGCCATCGAGTTATACTGATTTATGCTAGGTGAGGATCTGACCCATCACATGTGAAACAAAGCAATCAGACTGTACCTGGGATTCCCATCGTGTAATATGGCCAGGCTTTGAGGGACAGATTATCCAGGCACAGTTTATGGGAATAGTAGGACCTCAGGATCATGTGGAAACCTTTGCTAGGCAAGCCTGAGTAAGCCAGGCATTGCAAGAGGAAGGAAAGGGGAAAAGGAACCAGGTCCTAGCACTAGGAGCTGCTCAGCTGGCAACAGCACAAGCAGCTGGGCTGGAAGGAGGTGGGGAGAACGGGGGGGGGAGAAGGACATGAGAGGCAGCTGGAAGCAAGTCTCACAGGCTAGAGAGACAGACTTGCGCTGGCGTGGCTTGGGCTAGTGCGCTCAAAACAGCTGTGGGACTTTGGCACTGCAGCTTAGGTGGAGACTTGGGCTGGCCACCCAAGATCAAGCCTAGGGGGGCAGTGAGCCTGAGCCTCTGCCTCTGTCCGCACAACTGTTTTTAGCCTGCTAGTGCAAGTCTGTCTACCCAGGCTGGGGGCTTGCTCCCAGCTGCAACACAGACATACCCACAGGTACCCACAGGCAGAAAGGGCTTCACTGGCTTCCCCTCCCCACTCATTACACAATGGAAGTATGGAGACCCATGATGCCCCGAGATGATCGGATGAAGTTACTCATACCTATGTGTAGCAGAGTGAAGTCCCTCACCCTGGACTCCTCTCTGCAAACAGTCCTCACACACTCCCATGGCAAGTTCAACCCTGTGTGCTTCTTTTACAAGGTGTTATATGAGGGCTTGTTCCCCACAACATGAGGCTTTTCCCTTCTCCCCAGACACATGATGGGGGGAAGAGATCTCACCTCCTGAAGATCCTGGGCTTCTCTGGCCCTTCCTTCCAGCCTCCTCATTCCTGTCTCTCCAGTAACTGTCCTCTGATGACAAGCTGAATCACCCACCTTGTTTATTGGTTAATTACCTCATTTATTTGCCCCATGCGGGAATGCTCACCACATGTCCAGAGTCGTGAGTCAGCCTGTGGCTACTCACACTGTGCTTTATCCACTGAGGAAAGTTGCAGGAACCTATCAGTGGTATGAATGTAAATTACTTTTCAAGGGTGCTAGATTTAAAAGACAGAAACCCAGGAAGTTCTGAATTGAGCTCCCAAAATAGTCAAACCTCTGAAAGGAGAGAAATTCACAGTTAAGGCAGCCAAATCCCCTTAACTCTGCCCCTGTGGTGAAAGCAACCTCGCAACTTTCTTCCTTGCACGTGGCATACGGAAAATGTCCATCTCAGAACACATGGCTGTGTAATTTGTTTCACACCCACATCTCTGGAACAAAGCAGGATGATGTGTTACCTAACCAAGTGCTCTTTGCACGGCCTAGGCACATGAGCTCTTTAGACACGGAGCTAGTGTGTCGCTGTACAGAGCGACATGTGACTCACTAGCTGGCATACACATGAGGTCACAGAGCCCTCTCCTGTGCAGTACATGGCAAAAAGTGTTAGACTTTTAGAATGCCACTGATCCCCTCAGAACTTTGTCTGATCTTAAATTTGATGGAAGGATCCCAGATGGGACCCAAATACAACCTCTCAATTTGGAGACACATGCAGCTTTTGGGGGGATTTTAAATGGAGGCCAAACATCAGGCTCATCCGTTGAAACCTCAGTTAACCATGGAGCAGGTACCAGCACCATAATGGGGGCTACAAGGCCAAAGCAATCAGTCACACCAGGGCTTAGGGAATCGTTCTCCAACTATGTTTGGGTGAGACAAGGGTCAGTTCTGTGCAAACTGCAGAGCTGCCTCATGCAAGGAGAGCTATTGTCATGTGGCTTTGGACCCCCTTTCATGCCACTCCTGTTTGCTAACAGAAGGATCAAACCATTACTCTACTGGAATAAGAAACTTCACTTAGGTTTAAGAATGACTTTCCTCGCCTTAGAGCCAGTCCTGCTCCCGCTGAGCTATGAAATGTGGACACGAGAACGAATGGATATAAACTGGCCGTGGGGAAGTTTAGGCTTGAAATTAGACGAAGGTTTCTAACCGTCAGAGGGGTGAAATTTTGGAACAGCCTTCCGAGGGAAACGGTGGGGGCGAAAGACCTTTCTGGCTTCAAGATTAGGCTAGATAAGTTTATGGAGGAAATGGTTTGATGGGATAACGTGATTTTAGTCAATTAGGCAATAACGTGCCATCGCTGGTAAAATGTGGGTCCGGCTGGAGAATCTTGCCTGTATGCTCGGGGTTCTACTGATCGCCATATTTGGGGTTGGGAAGGAATTTTCCTCCAGGGTAGATTGGCAGAGGCCCTGGAGGTTTTTCGCCTTCCTCCGCAGCATAGGGCAGAGGTCGCAAGCTGGAGGATTCTCTGCGACTTGAAGTCTTTAGATCACGATCTGGAGACTTCAACAGCTGAGATAAGGGAAAGTGGGTGGGTCAGCTTTTGTGGCCTGCATCATGCGGGAGGTCAGACTAGATGACCATAATGGTCCCTTCTGACCTTAAAGTCTATGAGTCTATGAAATCCCCTCCCCTCAAACAAATGCAATTCTCAAAGTCACCAACCAGTAGGGATCAGGGTGTCATCCACAGGCAAGTAAGAGTCTGCTTCTATGGAGACCATATGGTTGTAGATATCATGTGATCCCTAGGAGACAATGAAAGAAATGTTTACACTTACACTGTACCCCTTACATGTGTCCAGGTACCTGTGTAGGGTGTTTTCCACTGGCAGTTATCATACCACATGGACACTGACCACAAACTCCAGCAGAGCCCATGTCGCTGGACTGCAGCATTTAAACATTAGTGACTCTGAGCTTCCCTACAACTGGCACAGTCTCCACGTTACCCAGTAAGCAGAGGGACGCAAAAGCAACCCTCATAATCCCAAGGCTTTAATCCCACTCCACTGCTCGATACACTCACAGCCTAATCAATGCTCTATACACAGTCAAGAACAGACTACTTGTCAGAATGACAGCTTGTATGTACTGGTACAGTGGGCATGCTGAAAAGCTTGCCAACTGTACTGAGCTGGAAATTTCCGCACTCACTTCTGTCTGCCTGTCCTGCACTTCCTTATTGCTTTTCCCCCTAGTGCACACAGGAAAGTTACTAGGGAAGGTACCATATAAAACCTAAGGTAGACACTTTCTTGGGGCCAGATCCTCAGAGGTATTTAGGTACCTAACTCCCACTGGTTTTTTTTGAGGATCTGGGTCTTTGACTGAAAGCTTTCTGGTACAAGGACTGTCTTTTTGTTCTGTGTTTGTACCCTACAAAAATTGCCAAAAAAAAAAAAAAAAAAACTAAAAGGCAAGCAATTGTGGCTAAATATGTTAATGCTTTTGCTAAACAAAAGCATAAGTGTAAAAAAATAAAAGTAACTGTTAAAATTGGAAAAAAAAACCAATCCCCCAAATCCTTTCCCATATCAGGCCAATCCTCATATTGCTGAAACCATTAAATCTTTGCTGCAACAAAAAATCATCCGTAAGTATTCTTCAGTATGCAATTCTCTAATTTGGCTAGTACAAAAACCAAATGGGTCATGGCATCTTACTATTAATTATCAAAAATTAAATCAAGTAATTCTAGCTTGTGCAGCTGTTGTATCCAAAATGCCCTAACCCAATTAAATCTGTAAATCCCAAAGCAAAATGGTTTTTTGCCATTGATATTGCCAATGGCTATTGGTCAATACCTGTTTCTAAGAAAAGTCAACATTATCTAGCTTTCACAGTGAAGGGGGTTCAGTACACTTTCCAAGTCTTACCCCCAAAATTCCATAACAGCCCAGCTATCTTTCAGAAACAAATAAAGCACATTCTGTCTAGGTTTTACAAACCATCTGTTTTATTTCAGTATGTAAATAACATTTGTTTAGCAACAAAAACTCAAAAAACAAACAAACCAAAAGTGCCTAAATAAGCTTTTACAAATCATCAAAAAAGCAAAACTAAAGTGTAACCCAGCAAAGGCACTAAAGTAGATCAGAAGGTGTCAGGGTCACAAATGCTGTGCTGTGGTTGGCAGTCTTTGTTCTAGAGGGCAAAAGTCCTTCTGGGCTGGAGAAGGAAGGTTTTCTTCTCTTGTGGTGGGGATTCTGTGTAAGTATGGGTCTGATCCTGCTTCCACTGAAGCGAATGGCAACCTGCAAACTGCCCCCCCCCAACTGAAATAGGAGCAAGATCAAGCCCTTAAATGTGTGTGTCACTTTCTAATCAGCGTTAACAACTTCTCACACAGAGAGACACACACACTGCAGGTGTTATGTCTGCTCCATAAAATGTGATTATTCTGCAAATTATATTTGTTTACTTTGCCTTATCATTAACCAATTAACTATACACTGATGATTACACTGCAGTTGTTAAAACAATGGCATTGATATAGTTAAATTACGCAGACATTCTAAAATATCTCTTTCTATCTAGCATGTTTCAAAGAGCCTTGTTATCTAAGTGTAAGAATGTAACAATGCTATCAGATGCTATCCTCACTGCACAGCAGTACTTGGGAGAATTATTTTCTATACCTTTGGCTTCATGCCTGATTATAAATGTAATGAGAGCAAAATGTAATTGAGAAGCAGTGTGGTCCACATGGCAGGGCACGGTGACTCAAGAGACATGGGCTCTACTCCCATCTCTGCTGTGACTTGTTGGGTGACTTTAGACAATTCACTTTCCCTTTCTATGCCTTTGTTTTTCTCTCCTTCCAGCTGTTTTCTGTCTTGTCTAGTTAGACTGTGAGCCAGGACTCTCTCACTACATTTGTCTACAGCTCCTAGTGTGGGGACCCTGATCTCAGCTGGGGCTCTAGGCACTAGTAGAATGTGGTCAGAGCAAGGGATGTGTCAGCACAAAGTGAAGCACCCATGACACTGGGATACACTTGTATCACTGAAGCAGAGGTTATTTAACGCTTTGTTAGCTGGTTGGGTTGTTCTGGGTCTCCTGGCCCAGAAACAATGGGGAGTAGAAAAGAGCCATTTTCCCAAAAGCCATGAGTGGTGGTGACCCCAACAAGCTTCATTTTCTCTCAGAGTCAGGGAGTTTAAGGCCAGAAAAGACCAGGTGCTCATCCAGTCTGCTCTGTACATCACAGGCCACTGTCCTGTACGCAGTCCCTTCTGCACTTGCTTGGGAATCCAAACAGACTGTAAGAGTCACAGTAGCTTCTCCTGGTGCTAAATTAACTTCCCTGAGCAGGGCATGTCCCTAATTGCCCTGAACCCCCTTGGACTGGGCTTTTCTGACTACCCACACCACAAATAGCCCCAGCGTCTCCCTCCCTCATCCTACCCCAACTTGCACATGGCTCTTGGTTCCCCTCCCCGCACGATGTATTAAAGTATTAGTTGTTCCGATGTTATAGCAAGCAGAGTAAGATCACTGGACAACGTAGCTCATGAGAGAGTTATGAGGCATTTAGTTTAGTGAGATGAAGTCAGTCATGCTTTCAAAGCATGAGAAGTACCAAGGATGATTATCTTACCTGGCCTGCTAGATTGAAGTAGGCATGGTTTGTCAGGCTAATAGGAGTAGTGCTGCTGCTTTGAGCTCGGTAGTTAATTGCTAGTTCCCCACCATCGAGCGTGTAGGTCACCCAGACTTTTAGTTCCCCAGGATACCCTTCTTCACCATCTGGACTCGTTCTGGAGAAGCGTATGCCATTTAGCAGCACCTCCGGGGTCCAGAGAACCTGCAACAACAATTCATTTCATTTCTCTACCCCCGTGGAAAACCACATGCAAGATATTTGACATGGCTCCATTTCCGGAGGCAAACACATTTCTCAGAATTCTTGTTTACAGCCGCAGCGACATAGAAACCATTGTTAGACAGTAAGCTTCTTGGGGCAGAGGCCTTTTTTGTTCTGTGCTTGTACAGTGCCTACCACAATAAGGTCCTGATCCATGACTGAGGCTCCTAAGTGACACAGTAATATCAATCATAATATTTTACTGAGCAACACCCTTCTCTCGTGCTACATGTTGGATTTAACACAGGAAAAAGAAGCTGCCAACCAGTATTATTTCCCACTTCCTCAAGGTCCTGTATATTTCAGATACATAATCTAAAAACAAATGTATAGACTGCATTTTATCTAGAGGTCCTACAATCTACATTCAGGGATCACTTAGCCCACTCCTGGGGTGGGAGCTCCTCAGCTGCACAGTTTAAAATAGGAAGTGAAAACAAACACTGTATCCAACTGAAATGACTAGGAGAAGTTGGAGGAACAGAACAACTAACGCTGGAGTCCAATCAGAGCGCTAGGGATAACTCTCAAACCCCTCTGATAAGTGTCACAGGATCTTTAAGGTACATCTACACTGCAAAAAAAAAAAAAAAACACACAGCAGCGAGTCTCAGAGCCCAGGTAAACTGACTTGGGCTCACGGGGCTCAGGCAAGGAGGCTAAAAACAGACATGTAGATATTTCTGCTCGGGCTGGAGCTCAGGCTCTGAGACTCACACACACCCCTGCTAGGTTTCAGAGCCCAGGTTCCAGCCCAAGATGCAACGTCCACCTTGCTATTTCAGCGATGCAGCATGAGCCCCACAAGCTAAGTCAGTTGACCTGCACTCAGACTCGCTGCCATGGGTCTTTTTTTGCAGTGTAGACATACCCAGAATGACCACAAACAGTTAGGATCACATCAGAAAGGTGCCATGCTCCCACGGCACCATGCGAAAGCACGTGTACGTGACCAACACAGAGCAAGGAATATCATCTGTGCTGAAGCACGTCCCTTGGAGTCACAATTAGGCCCAATCCTGCTTAGCTTGTGAGATGCAATGTACTCACAGCACGAGGCTCCAAGTCACATAGATGTTGCTTACCCCTTTCTTCCTCTTTTCCTTGCTTTCTTCTTTTACAGCACCATCAAGCTGAGCACTGCAGCAAGCTTTCAGAAGCTGCATTGTGATGAGAACTCTGGCACGCCACTTCACAACTCTGTGTACCTCACTTTACCTACCCTTACACCAGGGATAATACTTACCTGCCGTACAGTGCTAGCATAAGTATTAATTAATTCACACTTGGAAAGTGCTTTGAGCTCCATGGCTCTAAAAGGGGAAATCATAGGCAAATTATAATCGTATGTATTTGCTTTCTGGGTTTGGGTCAGGATGGCACAGACTCTGGGATTTCCCCAGCTCTCTGGACACAGACAGGATCAATAACTAGGTTGAATCGCAGTATTCTCATACCGCCTGGAGTGTCATCCTCCAAGTTCCCTAGTCAGCTTCCTTCTAATTGGAATGAAGTTACATCAGCCTGCTCTCTATTTGCCATGGCTGAATGGACCTTCACATGCTCTTCTCTTTGCAGATGTGCATGGTCTTGACCCAGACATGGAAATCAAATAATCAGGTCAATTGTAATGTGCCTTTCTGCAGGTGGGACTGCTACAACTGCTGACCCTGGGTTCTAAGCAGCTATACCACAGCAAGCATACAGAGAAGGAAGGAGGCAGACAAATCTAGCTAGTGGGGAAATGAGAGTCCAACGTCACAGAGTGTAAAAATAGCTGCTGCAGTCAGTGGCTACTAACTCCTTGTCAGATGGCAAGGATGTAATTTTATGTAATCCTGACCTATTTCACATAACTCAGACCAGGAAAGCAAGATTAGTTTCTTACCAGCTTTCTGGCGTGCCAAACATTATTTATCGTGCGGTCTGGGTGGTAGGAGATGTAGTCACAAAAATTACTGTTACTCTCTCCCTTCTCCCAGCTGTCAGTTTAACAACAGCACAGGACATTGTGTCCTGCCCGCGAGGCTGAATTTCTGTCCTGAAATCTCTTCTTTACTCTTTAAAATAATCTTCAGAGAATGTTTAAAAAAATAACCGACATGTTTAGAATAAGTACTACTGCATAATTACTATTGCCGCTAAGACTTCAGTGATGACATTTTCATTGTGCAGTAGGAGAAACCGTAGGAAAAAATGTTATGCATTTTTGGCCCACATCCTTCACTGATGTAAATGTGTAGTTCAGTGGAATTATGCTGATTTACCCCAGCTGAGGATCTGGCCTTTGGTTATACTGCGACTGCTTTGATAACATGACATCTATTGCACTGTGGTAACAGCACTTCTTGGGTGATTAAAGGCCTTCCTATTAGAGCCTGTACATACACACTAACTAGCTGAAGGGGAGATCTCATTGAAGTGACTATTCAAAGAAACATCATCAAGGTTTTCTGGCCCCCAAAATCAGCATACTATTCCCGCAAAAACTGACAATTTTTGTTGAACATTGCCCCCCAGGATTAAAAGAAAAGCACAAGCACACAAAACCCCACCAGCCATTAACAGCCATCCAAGCCCAGAATAGCAACTTCATGGACAAAAACAACTGTCTGAGAGGATTTGCTATTAAATGTACATATATTTCTACTTCATTTTTTAAATTAAATATTTGTTTTTTTCCCATCCATGAAGGCTCTAAGGCAGCCAGAGCCCCACAGGTGCAGGAACTACGGGAGCAGGGGGTGCTGCAGCACCCCCAGGTTTTGCACAGGGTCTCGGCTGCTGGCCCCACACCCGGGGGCTCTGCTGCTGGCCCCAGTCCCGGCCGCTGGTCCCATACCTGGAGTCTCGGCCGCCAACCAGGGGTCCCAGCCGCCAGGCCCCATGCCTGGCCGCCCGGCCCGGCACCCAGGGTCCAGGCTGCCAGCCCCATGGCTGGGGCTCTGCTCCTGACCCTGGCCCGGGATTCCGCACCCATCCCCAGCTGTGACCCCAGCCTCTGCCCCCTTACCCTGTCTGCATCCCTCGCTCCTGAAGCCACAGCCCTGCTCCTGGCCCCAGCTTGAGGGGGTGGTGAGGGGCACAGACATGGGTAAGGGAGGGGCGCAGCTCAGCGCCCCCACTCTAAAAACTGTTCCAGCACCACTGTGACGCCCTAGGGAAATTGGGCTTGATCCTAAGAGGCGCTGAGTACTCTATTCCTGATTTAGCCAGGCACTTCAGCACATACTTAACTTCAAGCATATAAGTCGTCCTGCTGAATTCAATGGGACAGCTCATGTGCTTGAAGTTAAGCTGGTGCTTATGGACTTTGCTGGATCAGGACCAGAGTGCTGGGCTCCCTGCAGGATCGAGCCTCTAATGACATCCCAAAAGACAAGAGGCTGGACCTGAGTGATTGAGGTCATGTGTATATCGGAAAATGATACTATTTGTATTGCCGCTGCACCTAGGAGCCCTAGTGATAGGCCAGGACACCACTGGGCCAGGCACTGCACAAACACAGAACAAAAAGACAGTCTCTGCCCCAAGGGAGCTTACAGTCCAAGTTTTGTATACTTATCATTTTTAGAAACGGAACAAAATACATATACAGATAACAAAACAAGATTGTGATCAAACACAAATGGGTCTTTTAAAAGGCAGCCAATACAGGTTACAAAACAGCTGTGTTGATACTTGTATGGGAAGTATGGTAATAATGGCAAAGAGTGTTTTACAAAATGGGGATACCTGGCATTAAACTTCATCTTTAAACGTGGGTGCTCAATGCAAAGCTGCTAATTCCTGCACTTTGGAGGACATGAGCCAGCTCTGAGAGCAGACGTTGTTAATGCTATATACAGTTATTTCTGTAACTGATTGAAAAGAACAGAGCCAACAAAATTTGTAAGTGTGAAAAAAAATGGGTTTCATAGAAAATATTTGGAAGATATTTCAGGAAAATATCTCAAACTTGTAATAAAGACCGTTCATCTCTCCAAACAGAAAGAACGTAATGCTATACAGTAACCTGCCTGGGAACCAGATGACTTCATGATGACCACAGCACTGCGGCCAGCTAGATGACAACTGGTTCTGCTCACCACCACTCAGCTAGTCATGGCTAACAGCTATTACACTGCTGACACATCCAGTCCTTGTCTACTCTGGCCACAGAGGTCAGCACTCTTCACTTGAGCACACCCAATTGAGTTTAAACACTGGACAGTTTTCAAATGTAGACAAGTACTGGGAAAGAGACTTACACTGTTTAAAACTCCTTATTTAGTTTTTTTTAGAATCCATTTGACTCCAGTGTATAATTAGTATTTGGGATAAAAGATGTCTTTGCTAAAATTAAAACTGAAGAGGTCCCTGCCGTGGCAAGGGGAGCAAGGGGAAACAGAGCCACAGGGAGGAGAAATGGCTTGCCACAGTAACCCAGCAGGTAAAGTCCAGCCCCAGACCAGCTGTAGTGGCCAAGTCTGCAGCAGACAATATTTCTAATTAGGGGCAGCTTACCAGCTGTAAAAGCTGCTTGGTGCAAATTGCAGGGACTGGGTGTTTTAACTGTATAGAGCTGAAGGATCATTGTAAAACAAGGAGATATTAGCGTGATAAGGAAGCCATTTGGAAAGAGTGTCAACTTTCAAGGTACAGAAAGCTTGTCCTCAAACATCAATAACACAGGGATAAAGCTACTAAAAATCAACCTCTTGCTTTAACAGGATGCTCCTGATTGAAAACAAGGGAGATTAGAATCAATTTGACCATGATCAGATTTACCTTGTCAAACCCTTTGTTCCCTCCATGCAGGCTGTTGGGTGGGTTGTTGAGGGCCAACTGATACTCTTTTCCTTCCACCGTGAATTTCCCATTAGCAATTCTGTTAGCAACTCGCCCAATTGTGGCTCCAAAGTAGGGGTGTTTGTTGACATAACCTAACAAAAATAAATGAGTCATCATTCAAAACGAAGTTCTAGTTTGACTGTGATCCCTAGAGCCAGGCGGATGGAGCTCAGAAAGTTGGATTGGGGTGGGGTGGAGTGGGAAAAACAGTCCTGGCAAAAAGACAAGGGTAGAAGGTGTCTGCAAGTCTCCATTTGTTTACTAATTTGAGTTCTAGAAGGCATCCCCAATGGCGCATCTTGGAGGTGCATGCCCATTTCCATCACACCCAACAACTGCCCTGCACTCCTCGTGCCCTTCCAGAATGGGAGAGTTTCAGTCCTCAAAACTCATGGCTGCCGAACAAGGAACTGTGGAGTTTAAGGTCCCTTTACAAGAACAGCCGCCTAAACAAGATGTACATGTTAAAAAGCCAGGAAATGGAGAGCTAAGGTGACACTTCCCACCCAATGTAGCCACCTGGAGCACGAGGCTGATGCATTAGCCACAAGGCAATCCTTCCTGCTAAATACCATGGAGGTGAGGCGTTCTCTAGGCAGATCTCAGCCAGGTGGTCACCTCCAAAACACACTGCTGTAAGTGGCTTGCTCAGCATCCCAGAGGCAGGCTGTGGGAGAGCCCAGGACAGACACTAGATCTCCTGAGCCCCAGTACACTGCACAGCCACAAGACCGTCTTTTTGCTGCTTGCAGCCCTTGCCCTATTCACCATCAATATACGGACACTATGTTGCTGCCTAGGGCAAGCCACCTTGGCAGATTCACTTAAAAGGGCGGCATGGCTGAGGGGAGGAGCCTTGGGCCAGTCTTTAGAGACTGGGTCTATTCCTGGCTTTGGCTGAAAGGCCCTTGAGCAGCCGCTTATTTGCTAAATAGGGGAAGGACGGTCATCTCCTCTCAGGACAGGGATATAGGCAGCCTGGGTTACTATTAAGAGCTATGAAATGCATAGAAATATTTCCCACAGTCAGGGGAAGAAATTTTAATTCACGGTTTCTAGCTCCCAACTCAGTTCCCCTTCCCCTGTGGTATATTGTGTGGGAAGGTCTCCCTAACAATCGCTCTCTGCTGCAAGAGATGAACCTGGCTCACAGCAGGTGAGCTCACAAAGCAAACTCCAATAGCTTGCAGGTATTCAAGCTAAAAAGTTCTTGGTGCTGATGCTAGGTTTCAGCAAGGGCAGTGCAGTGAGGGGGATTGGGGGGGATAGCGCCCCCTGTCGGGTCCATATCTGTGCATTATGAGAAGGCTGACATTTAAAAAACAGGACTTTTTCCTTTTGGGGCGGGGGGGGGGGAAGGGATGAGGGGGTCTGTACTCTAGAGAACACTGTCATCAAATTCTCACCCCAGACTTTACCCAGACTCTGAACTGACAGGCCAATTTTTGAGCCACCCTAATGACGCATGTGGATTTTAGAGCGGTTTGAAAATTAGAATCTACACAGAAACCAATTAGTGCTCTACCATAGTAACAAACGCACCCTATTAACCAGAGAAACCAAACCCATTCATCCAAATCTACTCCATTCCTCGGGCAAAAAAACAGATTAATACATGAACAACAAGGAGTCTGGTGGCACCTTAAAGACTAACAGATTTATTTGGGCATAAGCTTTCGTGGGTAAAAACCTCACTTCTTCAGATGCA